GCTATACTTCTTATAAAAGACGTTTTCAAAGATTGGATGCTTCAGTAAAAGGGTATTATCATTGAGAGTGATAGCAAGAATGTGATCCAATATATTCGTCAAAGCTTCAAAGCGGAAGGTAAATTCAATGAATCTTTAGACTTTCTTAGAGAGTTTGAAAATGTTATTTTTAACTTTGTTGATAGAAATAGCAAAAAGTTAGTGGATCTTTGTACTAACTATGTTATATTTAGTGATTTCTTTTGGGATGATATTACCTCTCAAAAGGTTCCTCCTTTATTCGTTGATTTAATAAAGGAGGAAATAATGGGAGGGAGTACCTATGACTTTTATTTCTGTTTTTTTTTTTAAAATTTTTAGCAATAATATCCTCTATTGCTTTTCTCAAAAAAAAAAACTTAATTAACTTTGATTGCTACTAGGTAACCCAGGCCTACAAGGCTATTAGCTTAGCCCTAAGAAAAGTGAAATAAACTTCACGGTCTCAGTGTGAAACAAAGGTAGTAATCATTTAACCTTTAAAATATATCTAAATTAATTTTTAATACATTAATACTTAAACTCTAACATAAAACCTCCCTTCAGCCTTAACAAATTCAAACTTTAGACAACTTCAACTAACTACCCAGCCTAGGATCTACCTAACCACACGACCTTCTATACACACTTTAGATGGTTTGCTAAGACAACTAACTCTAAATTTTGGTTAGGCTAGTGTTTACTTTTTTGTTGTGTGTCAAATTTTTAAGATTTCATTGCATGTTGTGATTGTAATTTTTTGATGTGTCTGCTTACTTTTACTAGACTCTGTGGACCGATGTGTTTAGCGATTAGATTACCCCTTTGATAGGAATGATTTGGATGCTCACTGAGTTTTCTACAGGTGGCCACGCTTATGCAGTGTAATAAAAGGGGGCTAAATAAAAATTAATTAAAAATATGCTTGCTATAGGTGCTTCAACTGCTTAGCCCCCAAATAATAAAAAGAGCATGGCCATTATATTTTCTTTTTCTATAAATATATATAACTTCTTGGGATGTATTTTGATTTATTAAATGCTTAGGATAACATTACAGGAGAGTCTAAAATTTTTTATATATATTTATAATTTATTTGAGATGTTAAGAGTTGTGAAAGTTAAACTTTAAGTCGGGATACATAGATCCAAATGTTGTATTCCAAAGAGAAATTTAACCTCTTAGGGGGATAACCCTTTTCTATTTGGAAGTTCAAATTTGGATCATATTTTCATACCCAAAGCAGAAAGGGTGGCCTTCCCCTTAAAGGAAGAGATCTCTTTTCCATTTGGGTAGCTAGCTCTGGAGAATCCAAGGTGCCCGAAGGAAGGAAGACTAAAGAATTGAAGATGAAGAGTATCACACTCAAAGTCACTTGCATTTTTATTAGGATTAGAATCCAGGTTGTTGTCAGTGTTGCTCGACCACTTTACTTTCTACAGACCCTAGGTTGTAATAAGTAAGACAGTTTGCCTATGGACATTTATTAATTAATTTGATTATATGTGAAGTGGTAATGTGATTGTGTATAGGATTGCTTGCTTTTCTTAATCTTTTTGGCATTTTTGTTGCTTTTTATTTTATCCTGGATATGTGAGGCTCATGAGGCTGTAAAAATTTTTCTACTCATGATTAAAGATTTAAAATTTTAGGATTTAAGCAACATAGAAAGATAATGATTCTAAGGATATAGTTGGGGATCACCCTCGGGGTCGCATGCATATTATTACACTTCTTCTTTCCTTGCTTAAGATACTTCCCCATCTACGGGTAGAGTTCAAATAATCCAACCTATGAGAATGAGATTCTGAACCTGGGAAACCCTAGTCTTCTAAAAAATTATTTTTTAAGCTTTATTCAAAATTTTAAGCATACATGATTTGGGTATTTCGACCATTATGAATTGTATTAGAAATATATTTAAAGGAGTCTTAATTTTAATTATGTGTCCTTAGCATTTTTAACCCAGCATAAGTCAAAGGGGCCACTTAGGATAATCTCTAGATGTCGGCTTCAGCTCTCCAAAACTTTAATAAAAATATCCCTACCACTCTTTCATAAAAATGATCAGACTCATAGATTTAAAATCGATTAGGTGGCTAGCTAACTCCCCAATCCAGGCTCGGGTAAGTCCAGATCTTACATTATATTAGCTAGGCTCGGGTCACCACTGTGAGATACCCAATTTAGATTTAGGATCCGGGATGAATCTTGGATCATGAGACCCCAACCTCCGGGAATATAATCCCAAATTTCTTATAAAATGTTTAACTCTAAATAAATCTTCTTTCAATCCAAAACATAAATCCCAACACTTAGATTAGGTTGGGACACTTTTGGATGGTTCTGAAATCTCAAAGTGTCCTCTACTCTTCTTCCCTTGACTCCTCTAATAAGTATACAATCATGATCCATTCCCTTTTGAAATTCCAAAATTTGCCTCCTTTTGTATCACTCTTACAAAATCTATTAACAAAATTTTGCCATTATTTTAATCGAGAGTATTCGTAAGAAATCTCGATTTCCTACGATATAATTAACTACGAGGGCTTGTGCTTGTAGGAGATTTAGAACCACACACATCAAATTTTTAAAATTGATTTTCAAATTAATTGGATTTCTTCAGGAAACTTAAATTATCAATTATCGTTTCATCATATTTGAAGAATTTGCAGCGAATGATATTTTATCCCTTTAGGGAGATAAATCCTTTGTTGTTAAAGCTTTGGATATAAACTTAATGATCATCCTTCTTGATTATCGTAGCAGGATATTTAGTTGAACCTCATTTTGGCCCCTCAAGGACATACGAAGTTCTCTCTTAAATCTGATCATAATATTCAAGATGGGATTTGCAATTCTAAATCTGAATCCCATTCCGAAATTTTATTTTCACCTCCTGAGGTGATATATCTTTTCTAATGGGTCGTCCGATTTTAGAATTAAAATTCAATGTCAACTTTAAATTCTCTAAAAAAAGTTAATATTTTGTTTTCAAAACTTTCTCCAACAACATGGTCCTATCTCTCACAGATAAATTGAGATCAAACACTTGTATTTAATAATTTCATTAATAAAAATATGTAAAGAGAATAAACGTGTTTCTATTAATGAAATTCTTTCGATAGAATTACTGTCTTATTCTTTAGACCAAAAAAAACATTTATTACTCTAAAATGAATAGAATATAATGTTATCAAGGGTAGAATCATATTAAAGTAAGGGTTGGCAATTGCTTCCCGTCAAGTTTTTTACTTAAGAATTTAATTTTTAGAAGGTTTGTGCATCCTTAAGAATTTAATTTTTAGAAAGTTTGTGCATCCTCAATTCATAAATTTATCCCGATTATCATTAAAAAAAATATTTGACCCTTTACTCTCAAGGGATTGGGCCGGGTAATTATATAAATTAAAAACTTTTAATTTTGACATTCTTGTCTATTTTATATTTACCTCTTATAAGTTTGATGTTATAATCTCACTAGTTTGTGTTTTTCATTAGAAACATTATTTGTATATACTTCATTCATTTAATTATTATTATTATTATATTTAATTTTAAAATTTTTGCTTACCCTACAAAAAGGGCTAATTTCATTCCTACACATTGCTATCATTTATGCTCCTAAATGAAAACTTAACCATGTAGATGAAGTTCGAAAGAAGTTAACTATTATTGATAAACCTAAATTTAGGGGAAAAATAAAATAAAATATATTGTTCCAAGAACTTTTAATAAAAAAAAAAAAAGATTGATCCATGAACTAAAAAAAGAAAAAAAATAATAAAATATTGATCCATGAACTAATTTCAATAACACGCAATAATCCTAATAAGGATTGGGGCAGTCAAAGCATCTTCTACTTTTAAGACGAGCAGTAAAAGCACTTAATCCTCAAAATGCATGAGGCTTAAAGCAATTTAATTTATCCAATATGAATATAATAATCATATTTATAATGTTTCTTTACTGATACATTTAAATCCAAAACATCTTAATTAACAACCAAAATACCCTACTAATGATAAAAATGAGCACTTTCTTGCCGTGAAAGTTTAATTATCACCATCCATAATGATAGACTCTTCAGGATTCTTTATAGAATATTTTTTTCTTTAAATTAAGTGTGTGCATATATATATATATATATATATATATATTTATATATATATATATATATATAATTATATATATATATTATAAGAGAGAGAGAGAGAGAGAGAGAGAGAGAGAGAGAGAGAGAGAGAGAGGTGGGTGGATGAATAAATTCACATGTCAATGTAATTTTCTACATTTGAAACGTTGGTATTAAAAAAATTATTCATTCTAAGTTGAGTAAACCCAACTGGTTAAAAAAAATGTTATCTTAGGACTTAATCAGATCAAACCAAACTAATCAATAACTACATATAGGCTCATCTTATATTTATGAAAAAATCTAATATATATCTCATATAATCAACAAAATATAATTAACATATATTTTTTAGGCAATCTTTTATCAATCCATATTATATTCTTCATATTTTTTTTTCTTTTAATGCAAACGTTTGTATATAAATCTTACTTATACTCCAACCTATAAATAAGAGTCAAAAGGCAAACCTAAAAATAATATTTTATTTGTCATGACCTCTTCTATTTTTTAGCAATAAAATTTTAGAATACGTATGCAAATTCTCCTTCAGTTTATTATAAAATATCCAGCACCCGTGCATGCCATTAAAGCTTACTTTCTTTATAAAAATATAACCATCCATAAAATTAGAAAACAAAAACAAATCGGCGAGCAAAAGACAAATAGCATGATTAATCTTTCTATTCAACAATACTGCCTTAATGACTGCTATGATTGGCATCTTAAAAGTAGGAAAAATAATCTTTGCTGATGGATAAAAATACCTTGCTATTCAACAATAAATGTATTGTAACTGGATCTAAGTCTTCTAGAAGTATGAAAAACAAATTAATGATTCAAAAAATTTTCTTTAAAATGAAGAGTTAGAACTAATTCTGCTCCTCAATAATCAATCAATCAACTTCTCCACTATAGTAACAATATTTTTGCTGTCCCTGCGTATTCTATATATATGTGTGTGTGGCATTTAATGACCGTACCCTCAACCATATAAGTTCTATATGAATTACAACGATGATCAACTGTAAGTTAAAATGGAAAAATAAGAACAAAAATGCATACATGCGAGGTATGACCATCAAGAATGATAAGAAAAACTAATTTACAACAACAGCGCCCTAAAAAAAGGCATAAATATGATGGATGAGAAGCAAGCAGCTGCTGAAATCTGTTTAATCAAAACGGAGCACAGCTGCATGCCACGTCTTCAAATTATTTCCTACAATAACAACGCTGTAGCTACCAAGATATGCACAACAATAGCCACAGCGCTTGGAAGACGCAGTTTTGGGTATTTATTGGATGCTGAAGTGTCAAGCTGATTTGAATTGAGATACTCATTCTTACCGGAACTCGTCGAAACATTAACAGACTGAGAACCTGATGCAATTTGAATAAGAGTTATACAGAATTTGAGCCACAGAAAGAAGAAATGGGTGGAGGGGAAGAAGAGAGCTTGATTCTAGCGAACTTACAGTCATAGCTTGTCCATCCAATTCTTTGGTTAGCCAAGTCATAAACAACTATCTTATCTTTAAGAACGATATCTGCAAAAGCAGAACCAGGATCGAAAGGTATTATCTATATGTATAACATATGTTAGACGATTAAATTCTAGTTTAAAAACGACTAGGATTCTCCACTTAAAATTAATATTACGGGTGTTTAACTGTACAGCCTAGCTTTTATCCAATGAGGAATGCTACACACACTTGATAGCGATATACAATATATGCAGTTTATTTCATCAAGGCATCATCTAATAATATTTATATCAAAAAATTTGGGGGAAATAATTCTCTATAATCAAACTAAACAGTAATATGGTGTAGCTATCAATTGAATGAATTTATCAAAAATTCTATTTATTTTTTTGTCGATATTCTTTTCTATTTTTTTATATTTTCATTATCTATTTGAATAGGTTAACCCTATTTCCTAACAACAGGAAACAAATTATATGCCACAATATGTCAATATCCTTCTTGGTGAACAATTCAAAAAGTTCCACATTAAACATTTCATTTCTCTGATTTTCCGATCATCCTCTGCAGTAGATCTTACGGAAAACAATTTCAAATCTGTCTAGATCAAGATCAAGATTCAAATCTGTCTAGATCAGGATCAAGATCAACAATGGGAATCACAGGAAGGAAGATTGACGTCAATGATTGACAGGAATTGGGATCATTTCTGACCAATCTGATACGCTGGGGAGCCCCACAGCCAGGAAGAGAGAATTATTTAGAAACATTCCTGATCAAAAGGAAGTGGTTTAGGAAAGTTCCTAATTAAAGAAAATTATCTAGGAATGTTCCTAATATATAAGGGTTGTTTAGGAAAGTTTCTTAATTGTGTTTATACTATTTAAGAAGCATTTAATAGTATATAAAGGTTTCATAAAATATGTTTAATTGTTTAGGAATGTTTTGTAAATAATATTTTATTGTTCAGGAAGGTTTCCTAAATTATGTTTAATTATTTAGGAAGTTTTCCTAAATTATATTTATGTTGATTAGGAAGGTTCTATTTATTTATAAAGGTTTCCTAAATTATGTTTATGTTGATTAAGAATGTTCTAATTGTGCTATTGTGTTCTAGGGCTATTTAAGGGGGGGTTTATCTATGGTTTAGTGAGGATATTGTTGATTTTATTTTACTAGTGCTTGTTGTGAGATCCTAGCGGTGTCTAGGGTTTGTAAGAGAGCTGATCTATCTTTCGAATAGTAGATCAATTGTATCTTACTTTATTATTGAAGGAGAAAAAAGAAAATCGCCCTAATCTTTGTGTTCCTACGTTGTTCTTCTCTTTTATTTGATGTTTTTACTTTTGAGGTGTATCAAATGAGTGCAACACCACAAGCATGGCTCCACGGGCTCTATGTGGCAACAAAGGTTTAGCGTGGGAGCAATTTTTTGTGAGTAAAAATAGCATTAAGAGGTCACTTTCTAGTTGGTCAACTTTTATCATGTGTCACTTTTTAGTTGGTTCTGAGAAAGTCTAGGAGTGCGAAAATAAGCATAGGTAGTGATATTTGGAGAGTGGAAAGATAGGTGAAAACTGAAACCCATTTTATCTCTTATCCAACCTCTTCCTCTATCCTTTCTCTTATGTGGAGTTGCAAGTGTTCTCAAATCGCTTAGTATTTTCTTCTTAGTTTCAAATTCCTAATATCATCAAGCCTCGTCACCAGATGCTCCGACACCTACTCCATCCAACCATCTTAAGAGAGCATTTATGCGGTTACTCATCGTTCTTCACTATGGCTGACAGTAACCATTCAACAATCAAGATGAATGGCCTCCTCAACAGTATCAAAGACAAATTAAATGCCATCAGCATCGCTTTCCACAAAATCAACCACCAGTTAAAATTGAAGAATATTTTGAGCTTTTACTCTTTTGGCATGGCACTGCAAATATGTTTTGATCCATATTGTAATTTGCACGATTAAAATAGTGAGAAGTTACTACAGTCCCTACAAAGTGTTGGAGCAAAATGGAGCAATCACTTAAGAACTTGAGTGGACAGAACATTCACTCATTCATCCAATCTTTCATACGTTCTTGCTCAAATAATATTATCACAACACAATGTCCAGATGACGAAGCTTTCCGCTAATGCGTGGAACAAACACTCTATGATCAACCCACTCGCCATCTTTAATTCACGCTACACCTGATAGGGAGGCATTCTTGCAGTTCAACATCTTATCTAATGGAAATGCTCACTACAAGACTATGCATTTCGATATTCAAAAACAAACTTCTTGAACTGCTTCATAATATTTACCTTGAGTTGCGGCTGTACTTCAAAGAGGATGGGAAAGAGAGATAACCACCATTTAGGAGAAGGAAAGATCCTCAAATATAATAGCAAAGAATCAGTATAAGTTGGCAAGGAAGGCAAGCACAACAACAGGACAACTACAGCACACACCAACTTGGCTCCAAAGCTTCCATGTGGCAAAGTTTTAGTGTGTAGGTTTTTGCGAGAGTGGGTCTAGCTTTTTGTGAGAAGAAGAATATGAAGACGTCACTTTCTCATTGTTTAGCTTTTGCCATTTGTCTATTTTTGGTTGGTGCTGAGAAGAATATGAGGGTGTGAGAATGATTATAGGTGGTGATTTCGGAAGTGTGGAAAGTCAAGCAAAAAAAAAAAAATCTCTTAATCCATCTAGCCATTCTCTTATGCTAAATTGCAAGAATTCTTGAAATGTCTGATATTTTATTCTCTATTTTCAATTCCTAGCAACTTAAACTAAGGGATTGAATTCACATATGCGAGCAAATCTTCTTGAATCATACATTGCATACAATATTTGACGATATGCTAGATGTCTTACTTTCTTCAAAAGATGTATGTTGCGAAGGGAGCATCCATTAAAGCCCCTTACACTTATATATATGTGAAAAGGTGAGCTTATGTGTGCAGAGGATGTACACACATGCAGAGTAGAGAGAGAAAGTGAGTGAGAGATGATGGAAGAAAAAAATCTTCAACAATTTTTAATAATTGCACCAAGTATATAAATCTTCAACTAATGGATGAACCCAATAGCAAAATGAAGGTCCATGATCTTGCTTATTTACAAGTTCCTAGATCACATGAAATTTAAAATTCATACTGTGATGAGAAAGGTGACAGCTTTGGTATTTGGAAAACATTACTGAATTTCACTTTCTAGTAACAATTTTCAATAGCAACCATATATTTTAATTCTAAACATACAAGAATATGATCATAAAACTTGAAATTTTCATATTTAAACATTTTTGTTAAGTCAATCAAGTTATTATTAATCCTGCATTTGTATTATTTTTGTCTTAAACCATAGTACAGCATTGAATCCCACTGATAGTGTCCAATATTGATATGTAATTATGAACGGGTTGGAATGTTCGGCATGCTAGCATGCATGTATAAATATATCTCTGAACATATGTACACAAGAATGAATGTTAGAAACAGGAAATTATGTACGCATGAGTACTTGTCTCCATGAATGCATGCATGCCATAAATGCATTCAGGTATTGATTCATGTTTGGTATATGCATAGTGTATAATCTTTGAAAGCGAGCACGTAGGGATGGATGTATTACTGGAAAACGGGCGAGTTAGGGTATCCAAAAAGGGGGGAAAAAACTGCTGCTTACACTATAAGCATTTAAAACCATGTCTGCACGTACTAAGTAACTTCTTGAAATATAAATTGTCTACCAACCTCCTAATATGGTTATCCCTTGACCATCATTCTTCTGCCAGCCAATACACCATATGATACCATTACCCTACAAACAGAAAGGTAGCATACTCAAAAGGGTTTTAATTAAAATCAGAAGTTCAGATAATTTACATATTTGTGCAGCCACTTATAGAACAAAAATTATTAGAGGAATGAGAACAAGGCACAACTCACAGCAGAACCCTGCTGAATAAGGTAGTCATCCGGCTTCAATATCATAGATGCATTTCCCATAAAATTGAGGGAAACTGGTGGAAACACGTCATCAATTCTGGCATGGAAAGAGTGTTACATAGCTGAAGTAAAAAAGAAAAAAAAAACATCCACTAAGCATGCCAAATCACACAGAAAACATTATTTTAAGGAAAATACCTGTTTGCTGTGACAAAGCACTGGTTTCCTTTAGCAACAAATGAACTTACTAGGTTTGATGAAGCTGAAGCAATAATCTGCATATTAAGGGAGTAAAATCACGTAAAGAGGCATAATATTCATCACTGCATATGTATTGTGTTTAAAATGTAGAGACCACTTTTAAGCAAACGTTTAACATTCAAGAGCGTATGCGTTTAACATACATATCATGAATAAACACTAGCACTGTTAAAAAGAAACCAAAAAGTATATTTGCATCTATGGTAAAGCAAAAATTCACAGCAATTTAAGCTAAAGAGTTTTGACAAGCATCAGAGGTTGCAGATAAAGGTGACAGCATAATATGAACCTAGTTAAATGACAACAATAATAATGATGAAAAAATTCAAGTAAGTTGTCTTCTAAACGACAACATTTCAAATATTTGGGAATAAACCCAACGTACTTAATAGGATCAAATTACTTTAATTTCATTACTATAAAAATTGTAGACAAATATATTACTTACTGCATTAACAAAGGGATCATACGCTTTTTCTGCTAGATAAGCCAAGGTGGTGCCAGAATCAACAATTGTTCCTTGTGTATTTGATGTTGTAAACACTGATGAATCAACAGATAGTGTTTGCCCATTGACAGCAATGCTTTCAAGATTTAAGTTGTAGTGAGGCCTGAATGTCCATAGAGTAAGCATTCACAAGATTAAATATAAGATTAATTTTTAATTAAGAACTGCATAATTAATAAATTAGTTTTCTTTTTTTTAAGTTGCTTCTTTTCTAGAAAATACTTTCATATTCAAATAACAAGACATATTCCTTGCATAAACCCACGCTATTTTTAAAACTTTAATCAGTTTAATGACATAATGACTTAAAAAATTGTACAATGTCTGAATGCACTGAATAAAAAAAATATAGTTCGAAATATTTGTTAATTTTCTTAAAATTCAGTGGCAATAGTAAAGGATCACGATTGAAATTATAATGTGAAAAAGAAGGTAATCAAGCAAACAAAAGACATATAATGCCAAATACAACAACAAATCTTAGGTTAGATGAAACTCCAAATCTCCATAACCATGGGCTATCAAAATCGGAGTCGGGTTCGGGTCCAACCAGCAATCGACCTTGCACTGTTTGACCCAACCCGAACCCGACTCGCTTTGGGTATGTTTTAGTAAAAAAAAAATTTATTTAATTCGATTTATTTAAACCTAAATCAAATTAAGGTAAGATTAATTTGGATCAATTTAAAATAAACTAAGCTTAATTCATTTTGGGCAACATAGTTTATTATTTTTTGGAAATAGCATTTACTTATTTTATAACAATCTTTTAAAAACCTCCTAAATTAATTAAAAACATATCAAACCGGGTTGATTTCGGGTTTCCGGATCAACCCGAACCCGAGCCAGTTTTACAAACGGGTCGAAACCCCTAACCCGACTCGGTTCGGGTTGACCCGAACACGAAATTTTTGGGTCGGTTTCGAGTCGGGTTTTCGGGTCGTGTCAAATATTGACACCCCTACATAACCCAATTACCATGAAAATCCAAGAAATTTGGAATTTAAATTTTTAAGGAACCAAACAGTATAAGTGTTATGATGCTTTTTTTTTAATCACAAGCCAATTAGTTTAATTATATCTATCAACTAAAAATATGTTATAGTTAAAGGTGAACAGGGAAAATGACTAGAAACTCAAGCAAGATGTCGCAAGATCATACTGCCTCACCCACTTCCTAAGCAGTAATTATTACAAAGGCTTTCTACGTGAATGCCTTACCCTAAGGCACTGAGTAAGGCAAACTTTGTGCCTTGATTTAAGCTGTGGGAGCTAATGCTTCAAGTGTCATGGTATAAAGAGTTGGAGTAATAAGTATGCACCCTTGGAAACAAGTTGATCAAGCATAAACATAAGAATTTAAGTTAAAATGAATTAAATCTTAGAGACAAAGAGGAGGAATCTAAGAAAATAGAACAAAAATAGAATAAATAGAGGATTATAAATATATTTCTAGAGAGAATCAAGGTTTAAAATTGTGGAAGTGGGTATTGAGGCATTTTCATTCTATGAGTTGAGGCATAAGCTTCAAGACGTTTTAATACATAACCCTCAAAATCAAAAAATTGCGAACAGTGAAAATGAATGTTAAAAGTAATTTTTTATATGATAACTAAATAATATGTTAAATAATGATATATTAACTTCCTATTGAACTATGTAATAGCATATTCACATCTCTCCCCCGCCTCATTTGAGCATCACCATAACAAATTGTTCTCTCCCTTGCATCATCATCTGTGGAGTCCAATGTCTCTAACCTACTTCTTCATATATTTTCATCATGTTCCTCTTCCCTAAACATTTGTCATCAACATGAAATTGTAAGTAATACTCCAAATTAAAGGAGCTTTAAGAAAATAAATTCTTTTTATATATATTTTCTCTTTATTTGTTTTTGTGGTTAGGTTGTAATAGATGCAGATGTTCTGTTTCTATCACCATCAAAGAAATCAATGTTGAAATCTTCTTGTAATTCAGATGGTGTTATCTCTACTTCTTTATTTACGAACCACTCATCATCTAATTTCATATCCTCACAAATCAAAGGGTCTTCATCATCTGTCAACCCTTTTTTTATGTTTATGTCTTTGAGTGTCTTATTGTACATAATGTACACTAATGAATTTATCCTTAGTGTTGTTTAACAATTTATCCTCTTTGTGTGCACTTGATTTTAAGTGCTTAGATGCATTCACATCTATATAAAGAGTACATTAATCACAAAATTCGGTAACATAATAGCCCTAATCCACTCAGGAATAGTAGGCTCAACCTCATTAGTTAAGTCACCCCTAACTGCTGGAAGCACGTGTGAAATTTAGTGTCTAAGTATTTGATATTACAAAAAAATAAAATGCATGCATGCTTTCGGGATCATCACACATCATGGTTTAAAATTGCGCAATAAGAGGTGCGCCTCAGTGCAATTTTAAAATTTTAAACCTCAAAGCCTACGCAATGAGAGCTGGCAATGAGGCGTACGCCTCAGCGCCTCACCTCATGTTTTAGAGGCGTACGCCTCTTAAAATTATTAAAAAAAAAAAAAAAAAACCTAACCACTCAGTACAACAATGATTGGTACCACTAGGTACATGCTCGGTACCGCTCGTTATCTTTCGATACAAACGACATTCCCGCAAGGGCACAGTACCTTGACCCCGCCAGAGAGCAGCGCCCCCTTGGACCCCTGGCTGCCCAGCATATTGTTGTATTCATCATCTTTAGTAATAGTTGTTAGTGTTAGTCTGCTTCTTCATGAGCGCATGCTTTATATAAATTTTCTTAATGTAGAATAAGTGAAGCATTATGTTTAGGGGTTTGATATATTGCACTAATAGTTGTTAGTGTTAGTCTGCTTCTTCATGAGTTGAACTATATTTCATATTGTCTTATTATTGGGTTATTTTGATTTCATTTCATATCTTGTGTCTTTTTATGTTTTATATTTTTTACTCATTAGTATATTAAAAAATTATAATTTTTTGTTTACGCAATCTTTTGATTTTGAGGCTTACACCTCAAAAAGCCTTGAGGCTTACGCCTTGCCTCACAAGCGAAAAACGCCTCAGTACCCGATTACTCAATGTTAAACATTGTCACACGTGCAATGAATTTGATTCCATTGCAACATATATGCATGTTTCAATTGAAGACAAGACTAATATTACTACTAGGCGACAGAATAAAATGAAATTGCTTCTTTGGAAATTTTCTTCATCATTTAGTAGGAAGAAAAATGGAAATAGGGAGGAAAGAGTTCATTGTCTTCCGCCTACCTGCTCCCTTAAGGAAAAAAACTAATATTACCACTTAGCTACAAAACAAAATGTAACCTTCTCAAAAGAATAACTAAGACAAACAAGCTAAAAGTACCATAACTATAAAAGTACAAAGGGCCAAAGTATTGTTATCCCACTAAATAACAAAAAATCAAAGGAAAAATACTGAGGCTAACGCGTCAGATGTCCTAACCTTTAGAAGAATTTAAATTAGAGTTTGATTCAATAATGGCAATTGCATTTGGTGAGTAGTATAAGAAATACTATCTAACATTGGAAGCTTTCATAATTTTCAGATGATCCAAGAGGTCAATCATATAGGTATTATCACAAAGCCTCTTATTTATTGCAAAAGGGCCAATCTTTCTAGCATTGAGTTTGTTATATCTACCAGTAAGATAGTTCGACATATTTAAGAGATTTAGCAAGAGAAATGCACGAAAGGGTTGAAAGATTGTTACCTTCATAGCGAGCAAGCAGGTAAACGTCAATAGTGAAGCAAAAAAGCAAACGAACTCAAACAGCAACAAAGAAGCATGCGAAGTCGAACAAAAATGTCATGAGTGATTGAGTGAGCAAGAGAAGCTAGCGAACTTAGCAATGAAGAAATAGAGAAGAAGCTAGCGACTCATTCAGAACTCTAACTCACGTAAAACAGGCGAGGTCGAACAACAACAAAGAAATGGAGAAGCGACGAGTTCAAAAATCAACTTTACATGAAGCAGAAGAAGTCAAACAGTAACGAAGAAATGGAGAAGAGGAAAAGAAAACACCATTTAGGGATTTAGGTTTAAATTTTAATAAAAAAATAAATTAAATTGGTGAGATGTATGTCTCACAAAAATGAGGCGAAGAGCACCTATGCCAAAATGAGCTGTACGCCTCACAAGATAAGCTCAAGGAGTACACCTTGAGGCGCTTTTTATCAGAATTGCACTGAGGCGCGCCTTGTGTTGTGGAATTTTAAACATTGGAGAGGATAACATGTAAAATGAGAAAATGAAATCAATAGTCATGAAGATTGGATTATATTTGTGTATACATGTTACAAAATTAATTAATTTCATAGTACCTATTTAAAATAATCTATTTAGCAAGTTTTCAAATATAGAATGCAATAAAACCGTCAATCCAATTAATTTGTTCAATATAATTTAACGAGATGATGATCATTTTCTATTATTCAACAAAAAATCATCATAATTAAACAAATTAAGAATCATAATATAATTAGTTCTATTTAAGCAACCCACTTCTCACTCTGGTGAAATATTATGGTGGTACCTAGTGCCCCAGGGAATCATATTTCCTTGGGTGCGCCTAATCTTTTTAAAACACTACTAATATTTTAGAGTATCAAGACATCTATTTTTAGTAAGCTTAGCTTCTTAGTTATCTAGCATACATAAAAGCTGTACGATTAGGCTATGCCTAGCAAGATTAAAATTAAGGATAAAATGACGAGGATCTTCTACAGTGCTTTCTTTCAAGAGAAAAATAGCTGCTGAACAGAAAAATGTAAACTGCACGGCTATAAGACTGCCTTTTTTTTTTTTTTTTTTTTTTTTTTTTTTTTTTTTTTTTTTTTTTTTTAAGACTGCCTATTTCACAAGGATTATCAATATTACGATTAGTTAAGTTTAAAGCAACAAAAATGGAGAATGTTATCTTATGAACCACATTGGGGCACAGATCAGCTACTGAAATAAGTTAGAAGAGTATAAAAAAAATTTTGAATTTTTCAGGAAGATAAGACACAAGAACAAATAAATATACCTAGAAGTTTTTGTATGGGCTGATAAAGAAACAAGGTAATTTAAAGTTAACATAGTGGATGCTGCCTGCAGAGTTTATTCAAGTTGGGAAAATATCAAATGCAACAATCAAAAAGAATGAATGGCAATTTTCAATTCAGAAAGATATAAGTCAAAGCTAAATCTAGAACTAAAAATAGAAGATAATCATTAAGAACAAATTAAATTTACTAATAAATTATTCAAGATACATCTGATGATGATATAAAAATTCATTAGTTATCATCTTGTTGAAAACATATGATACGATACTCAAGAAGTACAACTATCAGTCAAGTCTCTGGGTGCAAAAAAAACACATGGGCATATAATTACGTACAAAGTCATCTTAAGTTGAAAAATGAAATTCATAGTGAGTACATGATCCGATGATATTGATTACCTAACAATTAGATGGAAGATAACACTATTAAAGTTATATGTTCTCATTAAATGTTGAACGATGAACTTGGAAAACTAAACAAGAAGATTAACACCAAATGCAATCCCTTTTGTAATAAGCAAGAAGTACTAGGGAGACCAGAGAAGCTAGTTGTAATGTGACAATGAGTCACCATGACAGTATATAGTTCTCAGCCATCATTGACTCATTGTGGCTTCTAGACAAATTAAATGCAAAATTAATCATTAGTTTATACATTGGCCATATGCTTTTGAATGATCAGGATGCTAAATTCACTTGCATAAGTTAAATCCAATATTATATATATATATATATGTATATTTGATATTATTCACATAGAGCTTATGACTTCCTATCAAAAAGGCTTAATACTTTGTCTGATTCAGTGAACTGGTCATCAAGCATATTAATTCCTGCATCCAATAATACATAATTTCTACGCAAGTTAAAGGTAAGTTATAAGTATGAGAAATTAACTGTGTAGGATGATAAAGTTGGCCAAGAAACTTCACTTATTCATGCCATTCACATTTTTTTCCATACCTGAGACGCAGTACTCATTGTTAAAAAAGCATCATTTGCATAAAATAGTACTCATCCTCATAAGAAAAAAGTAGTTCTCATCATCATTATTATTCTTATCCAAGCTATTTGCAAATTTATAATTAAGAGAAATATTCATATCCATGCAACATCAACAGCCTAATTGCAATTTTATGAAATTTACTTTTAAGTCTCCATAATATCATCTTTTTACATAATCATCCTAAGGCACTTATCCATTTTGATCAGTCTAACTCGTACAGTTATATCCTCATGTGTATTTTTCTATTTTTCTATATAATATATCCAAAATATATTAATTATAACACCTAAACATTAATTTATCTTTCAATAATATTAATGAATATTGAGATCCACTAAAACTGCAAACTATATAGTATATTCTTTTCTACTAATTCTACTCATCCATTATTCTAACATTCTATTTATTTCAGCAGATATCTCACTAGTCAAAACTGTCACCTACAAAAAAGATACATCAAGGCACCTCAATTCATAAGCATATTCATAATCAATACAAAAATAAATGGAGTTTCTTTTGTGCTTTAATGTAAATCCTACTATAACTTAAGAAAATTAGTGACTACACATTTACTTAGAATACTAGTCAAGGTTTCATCACAGATATCTTTAATAACTTCATATCTTTAATGCATCTTTATTACTTAATGACCACTAAATCAATGCTCATGGTAATCACATGTCTTCTCAATATCAGTAAAACTAAAATTAATATCCTTTCTCTGCAATTTATAGTTTGCATTAATTGACAAATGTAGCAGATTTTCCTAACATGAAACCAAATTTATTCTCTAAAATTGACTTACTCTCTTCAATAGCTTCATTAAATGACTCACTTTGATTTCTCAATGATTAGAATAATCATAAATATCTTTTTTTTTTAAATATTGCTACCAAAATGTTTCTTTGTCAACCATGCATCCTCTTAGACTTCAGAATTTTATTGAAAAATCAATTAAACAAAGCACCAATATCCCAATGACTACCTAAATTTCAATTAGATACAAAATATATTTGGGTGACCAAACCACCTTTATGCAAGGTATTCAATTGTTCAGTTAAAAATTATCAATAAAAAATGCTGAAACACAACAAAAAAGAGTAGCATCACACTTCCCAATTTTTCCTCCAACAGAAAAAGAAAAAACAAATGCTACTTCAAATATGAATGGGTGGTTTGCGGTCACTCTCCAAGCACTTCCACTTGGTTCTTGGGAGGTTAATGGGAAGGAGTTTATGTATTTTATAAGTACAGCACAAAATATATAGATATATAAAGCAATGTAATGCATTCAAATAAATATCATAGGTAGATGCTATGAACCTATACACAAAGCAAGCAATATAAGATGTATTACAAGGAATTTCATAATGAATTTTGTTCTATTAATGAAAATTTGAGCATAAGAACATATTTAATTCAAGCAATAATGTTTTGCCGGATTTAAAAAGAGGCACTTACTTTGATTGAACAAGTGGGGTATAGACAATACCAGGTTCAACAATCTCTCCGAGAACCAGTATCCCCCCACCGCTATCTGAACCTTTTAAGCAATGAGAAAACACTTTAGGAGCAACTCCTGCAGATGACAACTGTGAGATAACAGACAATTCATGTTGTCCAAATCCAAATATCCCATCAATTGCTCGATCAGATTTGGTTAAATCTCCCGACTGTGAATTGCTACATCTGTTCCAAATAAACAAATGAAGGTGAGTGGTTTAAAAAAAAGGAAAATAAGAATCAAATGGTAAAAATGAATAAATAGCTTTTAAGCTTATTAAAAGTCAAAGGCCGCCTAATTTGATATAAGCATAAAATATCATAATTTTACTAAAAACATTTTTAAATACAATGGATTAGCTTCATTCAAACTCCACTCTGAGGAACTATTACAAGTGCATAGAATTTACCCAAATATAATGGTAGCTGAAGAGTTCAAAGTTTGTTCATTCTCAGTAACTGTGTCAAAATATAATGTGTCAGACACATAGTAACCAGATGTGCCACTTCCATCACCATACTGGAAAGAGTAAGAACAAGGTGAACTTGAAGAATCTGATGAGGAACAAGTTGCCTCTCCAGTTTGGATGGCTGATGTACATCTTTGATCTGAGCATGAGATGGATGAAGATGTAGAGGACTTGTCTGGCTCAAAAGACTCCAACTTGATCTGCAAATTGGTAATTTTTTCTTACAAAATACTTATCCAGAAGATGCTCTGAGATCCAAAATTATAATATGCAAATTGAAGTAAAATCCCAACTACGGTAGTGAATCACCGAAATGTTGGACAAAAGTTATATTAAGATATCCTGATATGTTTTTTTTTTTTTTAATTATTATTGGAAGTAGGGTATCTACCTGTTATCACCCCTAAAAGAGGCACAAGACTGCATAACTAATCCCTCGGTGAGCCTACCGGCAACCAACCCTACAGGTGCAGGGCCACACAGTTATTTTCTCCCAACTTAAGGAGTCACGCCGCATGAGAAAGGAATAGAACAAGGGTTGGGGGATGCTCTCCCACCAACTCAGCTAAGCCCGATGGGATTTGATATGCTTTCCAACATAATGAAATTAAATCCTAAATAACTTAAAATCCCAAATACGGTAGTGAATCAATTCAATGTTGCATAAAAATTATATTAGGATATCTTGATATGCTGTCCAACATATTGATATTAAATCCTGAATAATTTAATTAATTTTTTGAATGTTGGATAAAAATTAAATTAAAATATCCTGATAGACTTTGTAAAGGAATATCCAAATATATTTTGTATCAAGGTAAGAAATCAAAAGCTTAAAGCTAGAACACAGATAAATAAGCACAGAAACAAGACACGGGACCATTTTTGCCTTCTCAAATATTTAAACGTTTTCTAAATGCAACTATTTGTCTTCTATGTTTCATTATCTTGCCTTCTTAACATGATAAAAAATGTATCAGGAGATCTAGTTTCATTTTTTTTCCTTAAATGTTAGTTATTTTCTCATTTTTCAACCCAGCAAACAAATGGATGAAAAGGAAGATGCTGATGGCGCAAAAACCTTACATTTAGCCCACTGCTGGTAGGGCAACCATTACAGGGATTGCAAGTCACCCAGAGGATATCGCTTCCAGTATCAATCTGAACATAAAACTCCTTTGCAGGATTGCCCAGTTTCACACGGGTAAAGTATAGCCTACAAATAACATAAATAAATTAAACCCTGACAACGAAGCACAATATAGGATACGTCTAACCCAAAACAAACAGCAAAAAAATGCCGTAAGCGGAAAAAAAACGATCATTTACCTTTTCCTGATTATGTATGTGCTATCAAGAAACACAATTCAAGGAAAATAAAAATAAAATTAACTTGGTTTCACTTTCCAGAATCGAAATTCAACAACAAATATGTAAAATCACATTGAAAAAGAGATATCCCGAAAGCACAGAAGTCAAGAAGAGGATTAAGATATCCTCCAATCCTCGGAACCTAATAAATAAAACTCATGGGGGCGCAAACGTAACTAAGAGAGAAGGAAGCAAGAAATACCCTACGGTGAAGGGATTCCACGACCCCTCGACAGGGAAATCTACCACGCCGTAACTCGATGGAGCTGCACCCTGAAGTATTCTCCGATGCCGGAAGCGGTCCCGCGCCCTTAGCACCTCCACTGGGGCCCTCGCTGGCATCCCCCTTTCTAGCTGCATCGTTAGCTGAGACCCATCATTCCACGCCGCTGACGGAATAAAGACCAGAACCGCGATCGCCAGCCCGGCGAGGAGTCCATTCAATACCGACAACACCATCTCTCTCCTTCTCCTTCTATAGGAAACAGCAAAGGAGAGGGAACAAAGAGCAAGAATTTTGCCCCGAGCTCCCTCTCAGGCAAGAACTATATAACGTCCATGGCTAGAGCAAGAAAGTAGAGAGAAATCGGAGGTAGGAGACCGAGAAGGCGGCCTCTTTCTTTGTCGTTTCGTACGGTGGACTCGACGTGGGGGATGAGGAGGGAGGAACAATAGGAAAGTGAAT